ACAAACAGCATGTTATAACTTGCTTCTAATGGACCTCGCTTGATATATCGCTCCTCTCCCATCCTCCCTTATTCATTCTAAACTCTGAAAGACTTTCCCAGCTATACATGGAAGCCAGAGCTTTGGCTCCAACCCTGCAGTCTCCGATTCCTGCCCTCAAAGCAAATTATACTAAAAGCACAAAACAACTTTCGTTGTTCAAAAGACAGACACCTAAATCTCATCGCTAGTAGAGTGATTATGGCTGAAGCCGTAATAGCTTTCTTTAAATTCTCTGTATTAAACATACAATAAGGAGCGCTGCATGCACGGCATTTCTGCCACAGGTATCCCTAACTTCCTTCCAAGTCTGTTGCAGTTTTCAGACATGCCTTAGTTTGCAAAACAAAAACAATTTTTGTCATAGATCTATCCCAAATAAGGCTTCAAATTAAAGATTACTAACATGTAAATTTTAAGGGACAACCAACTCAAATTCTATTTAATTTTAAAAGTAATTTCAACACTGTAATTTACACTAATTCTCCTTTTACTTTTTTATTCTCTTCACAAACACACATTTTTCTGTTTCACTTGATTAGGAGAAAAAGACAGAAACCTGTCTAAAATTTCAGGGAAAAACTGAAACTGACTGTACACAAAGTATTATTTACTGAATGAATTTAACTGCAAGAATAATAATTTAATGTACTACAACTAGTTATATTAGCTATACATGCAACATGCAAAATTAGCACACAAAGTATTTTCAGTTATATTAACAGTTATTTTTAAGGTTTCGCTAACCTCACAGTACGATTTAGAATATATTCATACTTTTTAAAGAATTTGTATTTTCAAGTATAGCACTAAAAAAAAAGACCAAAATTTTTCAACAACTTATTAAGTTAAATCTACATTTGAATGAAGACAAAAAATGGAAAATGTCATCCTCAGGAACAAAGTCAGGAATGTCTCCCTACCCCGCAAGGTATTCAAATGGTTTTACAAAGCACTGTATAACTTTACCTAACTTAATAAGCAAATACAGAGACAGCACTTTCATACAAAAGAAGTTATATCAATGCATACAAAGACAGTACTAAAATTTTTCCCTCCTGTAAAAATACATTTCAAAATTGCATTTCTCTCGGCTTAAAAGGTTTTCAAACTGCTGGCTAAGCAAGGCATTAAGGTGTTTCATTAGAGACATTTGCACAATTTCATGTTATAGCATCAGGTAGCAAGTGTGATTTGCTTCCTGAATCATCTTGTCTTGGAAGTCAATCTGTGCTAAGGTTTGAGAGGTACTCTTCAGCTAAGCACATTTTCCTAGCTGCAAAAATAATTTTTGTTCATTATGCCTGAGGGCATACTGGACCGGTGGGATATTAAGGACATTTTTTAGTACTTCTTGTGCTGAAGAAACTATAATATACAAAAACCTAGAAATAATCATAAACACACTGCAGTTCTGTTCTTCACCTTTATTATAGCCACCAGATGGTATATTTACTAAGGCCCTCTGGCTGGGTTCTTGTAACCAGACTGGAGCAAATGACACCTGACAGTGCAGTAGAGGTGAGCCAGTTATATCTCCATTCCTTAGTCTTAGACACAGACGTGAACATTATTAAATTCTGACGGCCACAAAAGTCTCTGTAGAATCAGTAAATGAATAATTATCTACAGGAGATACTATCGCTGCTTTACAGAGCCCTTCCAAAATCATTTTGTACATCTTTCTTTTAAAATGACCTTTAAAGAAAATGTTGTGGGAGACTTCAGGCTTATTTTAGGGACAACATATATCTCTGAGATCCTAGTTCAAGGACATCAGTGACTCCATATAGTCATTAGTTTTTTGAATATTACTGTTAACATATAGGTTTCTCGCAGCGTTACCTGAGTACAAAAGGTGAGCATCCCCAGTTGCAGTGTTTCAGGCAGTTCACATTGATCATTTAACTGATCTCAGTTTGGAACCTTTGTGACTAGGAACATAAAATACATTTTCCTTTCCCTCTCTGTGTCCACCTAAGGTCACATTTCTACACATATTTCTCATGACAGCACTGCCAGCTCAGGCATTTCCCACTCCACCCTGCTTCTGGCCATCCGTTCCTAAATCCTTCCACTCCCTCAGTTCTGCAGTGCAACAGCTTATGTGGCCATGAGGCAAAACAGATGAAGGAACTAATCTGATTTACAAATAACATAATAAAAAAGCTGCCAAGAAAAACCTCCATGGACCTACTTCAGAGACAAACCTCCAAGAAAGAAAAGTTTAAAAAGCAGACACTCTGTGAGAGGGAACTAGAAAAGCTGAGCTGAGTTACTGGGGAACTGATATAGTTACATCGCTTCTGTGACCAGAGGTACTTCTTGTTCATTGTACTGTCCCTGTGCTGGTTGGATCTACCAGCTCTCCCATATCTAGGTCGAGTATCTATGCATGCTAATGTATGTATCATTAGAATCAGCAGCATAGAACAAGTCCATAAAAATGGCTATAACAAAGTATAAATGGTTAAAACAATTACAAAACTTATCATTAGTTACAGCATAAGCAAAACTTATGACATTAAATCTCTCTTTTTTAATAAGTACAATAATACTAACTTTTGGAATACATAATCATTTTCCCACTTTGCAGAAACCTATGCTTTTTAGGATGATTTGAGCTCACTGTGCCTACACTGCGTGTAGTTAAAAAAACATGCACATTACATGTTCAACACCTATTTACTAAAGTTTCACTAGGAATAGACAAAAAGAGTTAGAGTAGCTCATTGGAAGAGGGGATAGTAACAGGTGTTGTTTGTCTTGACCTTAGCAAGGCTTTCAGTACTGTCTCCCATAACATCCTCATAGGGAGAAATGGCCAGAAAGGAACTTAATGTAAGTTCACAAGGGAAATGTCAAGTCCTGCACCTGGGGGGGAACAACCCCAGGCATCAGTTGGAAACTGCATTCAAATATAAGGAAAAACTTCTTTACTGTGAGGGTGGCTGAGCGCTGGAACAGGTTGCCCAGGGAGGTTGTGGAGGATCCTTCCCTGGAGATATTCAAAAGCCATCTGGACACAATCCTGGGCAACATGCTCTAGGTGACCCTGCTTTGAGCAGGGGAGTTGGACTAGATGATCTCTGGATCTCTTTAATGCGCCTTCCAGCCTCAATGAAGCTGTGTTTCTGTGATGATAAACCTATAATGATGTGATTGCAGCGAAGTGACTTAAAATAAATAAAAACTATAAATTAATGCTACAAGCACAGGTTCAGATTTTAGGTGTTCTTGGTACTAGAAAGAAAACCAGTCTCAGTTCCTGCCTAATTCTTTATAGAACACATGTGCTTTCATTTTATTTATGTGTAATTCAATCTGCTGAATCTTGGAAATGTTAGTAGTCATTCAGAGTCTACTTTTAGAATTAAGGTAAATGAATAATTTTGCATTTTGTTAAAAATGAGTTAATATAGAGATCTGTTGCACACTGTGCTCTCTCTCTTTTTTAGTTATTATCATTTTCTTTGTAACAACAAATTCACAGCTCTCAAACACTCTCTTCTCCCGGAAGCTGACAGAACCTGCTGACATGCAAAACTGACATAGCAACTTTAGTGACCCAGCGCAGCAAAAATGGTTACATTTCTCCTTCAGTTCTACCATGTCATTAGATGAATTCCTATAGTATACCTTGGGGAAAAATTCTGTAAAGCAAGGATACGGCTTTACTAAGAATTCTAAAAAATGTTAGCAATATTTAGCCCTTTTCATAAAATTGATATGATCACCACTGGAACCAAATAGCTAAAACTAAATGACAGTTCCTATTTACTAATATTTAACATGTCACGAGCAAGACGCCTGCTTTGCTTGGACTGATGTACCCAAGTTTGACAGAAGTTGAACTGGCTTCTAGTACTCAATATTCTGAATTCGGTCTAGGTAGCGCAATTACTTCCCTGTACAAGGATTTTTCTGTTTTGGGGTGTTATAGAGTCACTAGAGAAAGCAGAGAACTCTCCAGGATCAGCTTTTTTGCATGCTGCCCACTAGAATATGCTAAAAGGCAAGAGGGATCAACATCCTACAAATAATTAAATCCTAGCTGACTGCTGGGGCTACATTATACACTGAGTTACAGACTATCTGATGGGGAAAAACTTTCTTTCTGCTCCCAGATCTGATGATCAGCTTTGAAGCTCGTATGGACAAGCAAAATTCTTCATCCAAGCAGGGGAGAGACTTTAATATCAAGGGAAGAATCTCAGAGTCTTCAGAAACACAGACTTGGAAATTCCAGTGCACCTATTCCTTTTTTTTTTTTTCCATCCATGCTTAATCACTACATTGCTGAGGAAAGCAGCAGAAAAAAAAAATGCATGCATCAAAGAGACAAAAATGATTCTGTAGTCCTTGCAGGGAAGCAGCAGGTACCAAGAGATACGACATTAATACAATATAAATATTGTCCAAATAATTTAAAACTAAATGGAGATCAAGTCTCTTGTGGATTCATCAGCTCAGACACCCACAGATATGTATCACAGACTTAATGCGTAACTCCAGAATTACTCCTACCATGTTGTCATACAACCTTTTCTATGAATACATCAAACAGTGTCTTGAAACAGTGCCAGTTCCTTATCATATTTAAAAAGCAATTTCAGAATTTCATACTGTGAACAATTCATATCCACTTCACCTGTAGCATTACTATTCTTCTAATTTAAATAATTTGTCTCCCTCCATAGTATTTCCTCCATGAATACCTGTAGAAAGTCATAATGTCAGTTCTTCACAGGATAAAGAAACAAAGTTTTGAAACAGTAATAATTAGAGAAGCATGCTGCAGTCATTTCATCACACCTATAAACTAATTTGTCTGCTGGGACACATTATACCAAATAGAAAGGAAAGAACAAAAACCAAACTGATTTCAGCACCAGCCCTCTCATTTACAAACGCGTAATTTGTAAATTCATTTTAAAAGATGCATATACTGAAGCACTTACAGACACCTGAGGAGAAAAGGCCAGGCGCTCCTAATGCTGGCTTTTCCTTTAGTTGTTGAATTAAGTGGTTTATTGTCTTCCAGTCAGCATTCAAGTCTTCTAATTTTCTCTAGAATATAAAATATATATA